TATTATTACATCTCGAGTTTGTAAAACAACCAAGTCCGAGTCCAAGAAAGAAAAAAAATCAACGCTGAAAACAAGAGAAATAGTCATCAATCATCAAAACTTCAAAGTCATCAATGCATCCCAAATAACTCCTTGACCCTTCTCAACACTTCACTCTTCATTGCCTCTCTCCCGCTAACCGTCCTCTGTACAGCATCCTTGTTCTCATATGCTCTCCTCAGCAAGTACTTCATGCATTCCCCAGTGGTTCCCCAAACCAGATACTTGTAGGCATTCGCCTTCACATCTCCTTGCTTCTTGCCGGCAACAAGCTCGCAGCTCACCTCATCCGCCATGCCCTGTAACTGTGCAAACGCTACATCGGTCCTCTTATCCGCCTCCCCGCTGGCAATCATCCTCTTTGCCTTGAGAACCGAACCCCTATTATGCGTAGCCAACACGACAGCCACGTCAGGGAACCGAGAATTACCGACCAAGGGCGTCTCCCACTCTCGCTTCAACAACGCTCTTGCAATCCCATCATATGCCCGATCGGTATCCTCCTTTGTATCATGGATTACCTCCCTTGGATCGCTCCCTAAATAAGCGCCCCTCACGAGCTTGACTCCCAAGGTGAATCCCTCTTCTTTTGCTTGCTTCAAGTGGGCGCTCAATGTCTCGGGTGCCTTCTTCAAATACGCCTGATAGGTTCCGTAAATGACCGCCTTGCCAGGTTCATCCGCATTATACTTGCGCATATACCGCATCGTCCAGTCATCGATTCCACCCTGAACTGCCGTTTGCTCAGCGTCAAATAACAGTCTCACGCCTAGCTTCTTTGCCAAGTCGCAAATGGCCTCGATGGCGTCTGCAAGTTCTTTGGGCGGTTCTTGTCTCAATCGAAGGGCAGCTAGTGCTTGGCTTCCTGCACCCGTGAATTTGAGCGCCACAAAGTCACCAGCGGATGCAAGACGAACAGTCTCGAGTGTACCATTGGCCCAGGGTTCTACCTCACTTTGAATGGACACTGCCGACGAGTTGTTTTTGGACTGTGAGCCGTGAGGGATGACAACTTCCCTCGCGTATCCAAGAATGACACCCTGGAAGCCGATATCCTTGAGCTCTCTGATGGTATGTTGGACCTCGGTCGGAGATTCACCAGCACAAAATTGAGCGTAAAACGTCTTTTTGAGAAGCGCTTTTAGCAAAGGGTTCGAATCGGGGTTAAAGGCGGGTGATGTAGTGTGGGCTAGTGCCGACATGATTTTGAGGGAAGGCGGTAGAAGGATTGGGGAGGACGAGACAGTGGTGGTCATCCATGATCTCAGGACGTTTTTTAGTGGCAGAACAGCCAGCGGCGATGTTGTTTTTGCTGGCATGTTTGGTAGTGATTCCTGTTGATGAATATGGGGTGAAGATGTTGCAATGTCAACTGCATCAACAAGAGTGAGGTTTGCTGGCGGTGATGAGTGAGTGGAAGAAGAGTGAATGGATCGTGTTGAGGTATTGGTTTTGGAAGAAGCTGGTCGAGTGGTGACTACAACGGTCGAGCAACGGGGCAGACCAGACGACGACGACCCCGATGCGGCAGCTGCTTGTCGGACACAAGCACGGGGTGAGCCCCGAAGGGTTCGCGGAATTGGAGCCATTCTTTCGTAGATGGAAGCTCGCTTTCTGGCGAAGAAATGATACGGTGTGTGTATTTAGAGTTTAGATGAACGAGACCAAGAGGACGGCGAAGAGGAAAGAGCAAGAGCACCCAATGCACGTTTATATGATGATGCACATGACAGGCATGATGCGCGGGGGAGAGTTCCCTTGGGACAGCCAAATGTTTTAATCTCCCGGTATCGCTCATGCAGTGACTTCAGAACATGCCAGAAATCCACCAATCCCACGGATTTCAGATACGACCCAGCGCCTTTGTCAAGGTTTCTGAGTCTGGCGCCTGCATGCTATGATGTTATTGACGGTTTCCTTATCAATCATTCAATGAAGAACCACGGTTCCCCACACAAAGGAAGGCCGTAGATAGCCGCAAGTGTGGGGATAAAACAAACTGCCGTCATAACTCAATTGGCCCCGCATCATTGCTTCGCCGGTGTCTTTCCTGACATTCCATTGGATACAGCCAAAGTAATCTAACGCAATATGCACTTGGATGTCGTTTAGATTGCTACCGGTGGCCGTGGGTGGCCGTGTGTGGCTGCGTGGGTAATGACATTCTTTCTCGAAATGCTGCCGGCTTAAGGAACTCGGGTTCATCTCGGCCGGGACTTCCAACAGGGCCATTGAGGGGCTAAGAACAGTCCGGTCCCAATAACAAAGCATTTAGCGACCTCGGAGAGCGGCTGATGTCGGCGTGTGAACAAGTCAATTGACCATTCCAATTGATAAACGCCAATTTGGACCATGGGGGAAACATGGTCATGTGGCCTACTGCTCCCACTGCTGCGCTTCGACGTTGTGGGGTTGGGATTGGCAGTAAAGGCTGTTGTCGGTTTGCGGTGTGTGCCCCTGCGGGCCGAAGCGATAAAATCTCCTCTTGTGGTATTAAAATAAGCTGGGCGATTTCCCCCTTTTGTGTGTGACGGGAGTTGTCAGATTCCTCGGGTGGCGCAGCGTAAGATCTGACAAGACCCGCTGCTTCCGAGCGCTTGGTGTTTGTGTTCTGGTCAATCTTTGCCCCTAAAAGCGCTGATTTGTTGTTTTGCGTATTCAACGTAGCCTATTCGGCGTCCACGAGCGAGTCCCAAGAGATCTTGCATCCCTCCGTAGAGAACCCCCACAACCAGGGCTGCTTTGGTAGTTCGAGCGGTCATGGGCAGTGAAAAGCGATCTGTGATTTTGAACTTTGGTCAGTAGTTTTCCGATAATGATAATGGGGGTAGCATGGCACATACTCCAGAGACTAAAGGCTCCAGCCACTGTAACGGAAGAAGTGACAGTGTTGAAGAGGTCGGCCGTCCCGCGGTAGGTGTCAAACATTTGCTCGATTGAAAACATGGCTGTCGTCAAGAGTGACACCTTGAATCCCATCTTTAACCCCTCGCGCACTCCTCCCTTCATGACGTGGTAGTTCTTGCTTTTGTGATACAGGTACCAACCCGTGGTGCTGTTTGGGAGCTTGTGAGCGTGCTCAGCACGGAATCGGAGGCCGGCCATCTTGCTGCCGTGGCTGGCTCCCAATACGAAACCAGCGCCGTATGAAAGCATCGTCGCCATTGGGAGTCGGATACCGGTCGGAATGGAAAGACGCGCATTACGGTAGAAAGCTTCGAGCTCTTCTTTGCTTGGGGGTTCGATAGGTCCTTCCCGGTACCGCTGGGGTTCGTTCTCGGGGGTTATTTTGGGTCGGACGATATCCATGTTGTTGACTTTTCAATTTGTTAAACTTGGCGTTGAATCTGGCGGTTGTTATTGCAACCGGCGAAAACAAAATCTTTCAGTTTTACGGGCTTCTTCAGTCGATAAATCGCATCATGTTCAATGTGGACATTGAATTTGTTGGAGTCGGTCCAAGCTTCTGCAGTACCCCACTCTCCAGGCAGCTCTGCCGTCTTGGCACCCTGGAAGTGCCCCTCCTTGTCCCCCACCAAAGGCCCAAGCATCCCGTCCCCCTTGACGGCGCCATTCATCCATCAATTGGAGCATCTTTCATCTTTCATCTTTCATCTTACGCGCAACAGCTGCATTTGAATTTCTCAAAATGGTACGTGAATATTCTCATCTCTGAGCGTCATTTTCCACATTCAACTAACCCCCCTCCCAGGCAGAACCGCAGTCGGAGCCGCAGCCAGAGCAGCAGCCGCTCACAAACGGACACACCCACTCCGACGACACCCCAACAGCGCTTTCCCTCATGCTGAAACACGGCATCCATACAATTCTTCTGTTTGCTTCCCCCCAGTGGACTTTTTCCCGACTCTCTTCCGAGCTCCTCTCTGTCCTGCGCGAACGATACCCCGACGGCCTGACCACAGCCCTCGAGCCACGAAAAACCACACCCATACCAGCCAGCATTGATGAGAAAACTATTGTTTATGGTATAATCAAGGATCGTGAGGATCCAAGTCAAGGGTGGGACGAAATCGTTGTCGAGAATCCCGATCAAAACAAGCTCGGTCAAAAAGGGTTTGTCAACGAGACAGTATATGCGTTTGCGTTTGCAGACAAGGACTTTAATCCTAGGATGGATGACATAGAATTTGAGGTAGAATTCCCACCGGATGATGAGGCAGAGGAGGAGGAGCGACATCGCCAGCGTCGGCAGCAGCAGAGAGAGCTGCACGAGTGGGAGCTGGAGCGGATACGACGAGAGGAGGAGGATGGCGTTCGGCAGGAGGATGCGAGATTGGAGACCCAGCGCGAGCGTCAAAGGCAGCGCCGCCGGCGGCATGGATTGGATGAGGATGAGTAATAGGAAGATCAGGAACGGGTCTGGATTTTGATATGAACACGAAGCATCATGGGATGGTCGCTTGGGCGTTTGGCGTTTGCGAAACTGGTTTTCGGGCAAGGCATCTCGGCACTGGTCTGGGAAACTTGTTTCTGACCAAGACGTCTCGGCAATATTGTTTTTGTTTCTACATTTGTTTGGTAAAGCTGGATTTACAACTAGCGCAATGGTGGAACACTGGGGCATCTACTGGATGTCCAATATAATAGTATTTTTTTGTCTCGAAGAATACTGGATAGTTGACCCGTTAATGCCTCCAAGCGGAACTTGTCAAGATGACAACCTACAAAATCTCCACATGCACCGCGTACTTGGGAACTTGTAGTGGAAACTGGTTATTCACTTCAAGACAATTGACATTTTGTCCCCATCCTCGTCAATTTACTATCTCGTGCATCGGCATAAAGTTAAACTCTTCATTTACCATCAAAACTTGACCGCGTAAAAAACCATCCACTAGATTCCATCAGTTTCGTTGCTCATTGGTATTCTTGTGCTGTCTCCATCAGTGGGTCCACTATATAAGAATAGTTTTGGCCTGCCCCGTCAAGTTCAAATGAATGGTTGTGTAGTGTAGTGGTCATCACACTGGATTTTGACACTTCAATCGTTCAAAGTCCTTCCAGTAACCCCGGTTCGAACCCGGGCACGACCTGAACTTTTTGTCTTTTTTTAATGTTTTGCATGTGATGAGTTGTCATGTTTGGACAAGGTTTTTGATGTTTTGAATTTTTTCTTTCTTGTTTGTGTTGATGATTGGCCATGGATGATGGATGGTTTGCAGGGTGCAGGGTTGATAGTCACTTACAAGTTGCTCGTGTGGATGAATGGTCACCACTAACAAGATATCTCTCTCTGAGAGCAGATAGGATTGTGATAGAGTCAAAATTGCATTTCTCTTGAAATTATGGTCAGAAACTGAGGGATTTTGGAAATATAAAGCGAATCAATCATGGGGGTGTGGAGTGTGAGAGTTGAGTTGTGAGAAATGATGCACAAAGACACAAGGCAATTCATTCACAATATCAAATTGAAACACCGAATAAATGATATCATTCTCCGGGAAATAAGTCTATGGATATCGAGACCTTGAATTTTATGTAACATCATAAAATCCAAAAGCAATATGTGATTATATGTTTGGGCATCTACCATCTTCATCGCAAATAGACTGGTCGTTTCTTCAATTTTAAAAAACATACTTGGAAAAAAGTATCGTGGAAAGATTCCAGCACTCATCACATTATCATTTTATTTTAGTGGCCGTTCTCAAATTCAAACAAATAACTTATTAACGACATCACTGTGCCTTGCTCTCTTGAAGCCCTGTCCTCAAATTTGATTCCTGGAGCACTGCCTGAGTAGAACTCCTATAAATCAGGTCTGTAGCTTAAATATTTCATATGAAGAGAGAGATATTATGTAGCTCGGTCAGTTTCAGTGCGTTCGTAGGCTCATCTGGCGTGTGTAGTCGAGATGGCTTCAACCTAGCATCGAAGTAAAATCAATACGAGGGCCGACATTAGATATGGGGTTTATTGGAATTTGGAATAAACAGTCAACTGAATCTTCATCACTTTGAATGGTACGTCTAGCTCAGTCTCTGGGGATTTCGTTTCATCCTGACGAGTCTGAGAAGAGTGGTTAGAAATAACTGAAACCCGAACATGCAGATATTCTGATATCTATTTTCATTCAAGTGACATGCTCAGGAAACATTTTGATTATATTGAGAGTCATTATCGACAGTTCTCGCTCATTCTTTCAGGTCGTAACATATGCAGTGATTAAAATGTGATATCAGTGATGGCAGACACTCGATTGGAGAGCTGTTGGTTGACGAAGCTAAGATACAAGAAAATGCAATCATGAGTCAATGAGTAGAAGTATCTGATGCTACTGATAAGGATTTTCAGACCCTTCCATGATTGCGCTTCTTAATGGTCAAGTTACCCGGCCACCAGATCACTGTGTCCACTCCACGTCACTGACAACTTTCTAACTAGCAGCCACAATTGCGTATAATCGTGACCATTTCACCTCATGAATCACTGACAACTTCAAATCAATGGTTGAAGCAGTTGTGAAATGAAATAGATGCATTCACTACGGCTTTTTGGTTGTAACTTCTTTGGGGAAGTCTGGAATATCTCTTGACAAACCTAGAATACCAGTAATGAGACCCCATTCGCCCGTTTCGAGTCTCGGAGTCTCAAGTGCTGTTGGAACATCAACTTTGTCTAGCAGACGTCACAGGTATCTAGTAATTCACTGATGGTTTAGCCACTCTCCTTGGACCACCATCATACGTGTGTAATATACATATCAAGTCACCCAAACCAATGATCGACAACTCCACCAGAATGGTACATGTACATCGTTTCTCCCAAACTATCTTATTGCCACGTAGATCTTACGTACGTCCCCGAGGAGCTGGTTCTTTGATACACAAGTCTCTTCTGTCATACCGTGACAGTCCCGACGGGTCGGGTAATACATTTTGGGCGAGTTCAACGACACAACGTGCACAACAGTGCCGCAAGATCTCCGCCAAGATCTAGATTTCAAGTTTCCAGGTCGCCACTTGTCTCGTGCAGCTCGGATGTGTGCCGAGACACAGTTCTAGAGTCATCCCGCACAAAGAGCCATGCAGGAAGAGACAAATTTGCCTCCCACGGTTACACACGAGAGCCAACGGGGATGGGGATGGTCAGCTCCATGTCAGGGATATCAAAAACATCCCGCTTCAGGTAAATTAAAGAACAAAGTTCTTTCTCGGCTGTCCCTGTCCCGACCGGCAGTCAGCCCTTTGAAGGGTTCCATTCCATGAGAACGTGCATCAGTAGTGTGCATGTTGGGGGAGTTGGGCTGAGACCTGTGAACTAACAAGCGAGATGGAGAGGCAACAGTCCAGCCTTCAAGTCATTTTCAGTTAGATCTCACACGACCCCATTCCCATTCCTTCCCCAGAGTTGGACATCCCGCGTTCTGGATCTTGCCATTCGGGGATACCGAGTGGTTGGGACCGACAACGTGCCTTCAAACTAGTACGTACGGAAAATTCTTTTTTTCTTTTTCTTTTCCCAATCTAAATCTTGAACCAATATCAAAACTTACTAGCATAGGGCTCTCCCCCAACAAGCTGAAGCTTGAGTTCTTCAAGCTCCCAAGCCTAGACAAACCAGTCGTTTCCCATCTCCAGGATCCGAATCTTGGCTTATACTTGGCATAGATCAACGTGGGTTTGCCAAGTGCGCCTCTCAGCATATGCCAAGCAGCTTGAGGCCGAGCACGAATGGGGGAAAAAGCTGAAAGGAAAAAAATATTGAAGTTGTCACTGCTGGGGAATTGGAGCATGAGAATGTTGCCTCACGCCCACATCACTAGTGGGAATGCGGGATGCATCATGCATCCTTTGGACCTTCCGAGAGCTACCTCCCATAGGGAAGTTCATGTTTGTTGCGGCTGGCATCCCGAGAAGCAGAAGCGAGAACCTAGACTTGGGGGTTCATGTTTCTTGTACGTACAATAAAATTTCCCAGGCCCATGTCAGACTGAAAAAAGAGTGACATGACATCTCGTGATGATTATCCAGGGACTCGGAAGACCCGAAGGGGAAGGGTAAAATATTAAAAATAATAGCAATGTTGACGATGTCTAGAAACCAACAACCAAGGTGTTGATCGATGGTCCCTGATGCAGCCCTTCTTTGTCCAATATTGAAGCACGCAACAGGGGAAGCAGATAGACTCAACACGGCTCATTATCAAAGATTTGGAAACAAAGGCATTCATGATATGATGTACGGAGTACCTACACACAATTCCAGGTTTTTTTTTTTTTAAGTTTTTTTTTTTTGGAGAGCTGCCGTTACACTATGATGCTTACCTGACAAGTCTTGGCCACTACGGAATAATGGCCAAGAAAGAGAAAGCGAGGGTGACCCTTCCGATTGGTCAGAAAGCCAGGGCTCACAAGCCACGCCCGTCTTGGGACGTCTTGGAAGACAAGCTTGGCCAGCACGTTTTCTCAGTTGTTCGTTGAATATTCAACCCCCACTCTTTTCCATTGGAGGCTTTGATGACGCGATCTGGAGGGGCATCCTCTTTTTGCAGTATCTGATGCGCCAAGTAGGTAGTGTGGTAGTCCTGAGCAGATATCTGCAAGGCAAAAAAGCCAAGATCTCGTAGGTACCGTGGTACTTGTTAGTAGCTCAAGCCAAGACTCAAAGAAGTTTATAAGTCTCCTCTCAAGCTCCCCCGCACAGAAATTGCGTGCTCACCTAGGGTGAATTTCATCATCGACGCCATACGGGTCCAACAGAGTGTGCAGACACGCAGAGCAACAACTTGACGACAACCTGGGAAATCCCTTGAAGGTACCCTGCCGGATATGCCGCCACAGGCAACCATTCCTGTCAACTCAACAGACATGCCCTTGCGGTCAGAGTCTTGGGAGATGGGGGGACAAAAAAAAGAAAGACCTTGGCGGCTGATGTCGAGTTGATTATAAGGTTTCCTTTGGCACACCCAATTCTCGACACCTTCCTCTTCGTTCGGTAGGGAGTTCCACTGTGTTTTGCGTGGTTAAATCCGAAGATATTTTCCCCCCGGACTCCGTAACACTGAGGAACCCTTCATACCTTAGCTTCATCCCCGTCTCATCCCATCTGCCGGAGCTAAACGGACAACAACAACAACAATCATGGGGATTCCTGAAAAGACCACCAACCAGGAGTTTCCTCCTCCTGCTGAGGACCAGCGGGCACTTACCCTCACCGAGGATTGGACTCCCGAGGAGGAAGCTAAGGCAAAGAGAAAGTTGGATCTAATTATTATGCCCATTTTGACTTTGGGTTTCTTCTGTCTTCGTAAGTTCTTCTTTTTTTATATTCCCAAGTGACAACAACCCAGTCTAACCTTGGACAAAACAGAACTTGATCGTGGAAACATCTCCAACGCCATCACCAGTTCCTTCTTCAAAGATGTCGGCATCACACAAAACGAGTTCAACGTCGGCCAGCAGATGCTGTCGTTGGGTATCGTGCTCACTGAAATCCCCGCCAACATGTGTCTTTACCGCGTCGGACCCGGCAAGTGGTTGACCCTCCAGCTTTTCCTCTTCGGCATCGTCTCTACCTTCCAGGCCTGGCAAAACAACTATGCCTCCTTCATCGCCACACGCTTCCTTCTCGGCATCACAGAGTCTGGTTTTATTCCTGGTGGTCTCTGGACCATGTCGACCTGGTACACTCGTGCTGAGACGGCCAAGCGTGTCATGATCTTTTACTTTGGCAACCAGATTGGCCAGGCCAGCTCCAAGCTGCTCGCCTACGGCATCTTGCACATGGAAGGCATGGGCGGAAAGGCCGGTTGGTTCTACCTCTTCACCCTCATGGGCGGTTTCACCGTCCTCTGCGGTTTCGTTTACGGCTTCTTCCTCCCCGACTCATTCCGCAATCCTTCTCCTTCTTTCCTCCCCAAGTGGAGGATGTTCACCGATCGCGAGATCCACATTCTCCAGACCCGCGTCTTGCTCGACGACCCCATGAAGGGACAAAAGAAGAAGAAGATCAACCTCGGCGCCTTTAAGCGTGCATTCACCAACTGGCGCATCTACGCCCACGTTGCCATCTCTCTCCTCAACAACGGCCCC